TGGCAACAGTACCCAGTACTACTTTTTTGCAAAGACACTCTTCTGCCAATTTCAACTCCTTTACTGCATTCCATTTCCTCCCAGTGTAGACTTCAATATTTGCTCCTACCACTTTTGGATCCTTGGAGAACTTATACTTTATTACCATTTGCACTTTAGCAACTTTGTATTCTTCTACAAGGCTTTTAAATGGGAGTTGAATATTGGAATTACTGTAAAGGGTAGCACTGCTGAGACACTTTGGTAGACCTAGCCATCTTTGTAAATAAGCGTTAATCTTTCTATCTGTTCTATGGAAGAAGTAGTGAACTTGTAGATGGACAATGGCCAGAATATCTTGGGCAGGATAACATGCTGATAAATCCATGCCTTGTATCAACCGAGTAAGCCAGACTTGTCTACATTACCGTCCATACTTCTAAAATGTCCTTTGTTTCCTGGATTGCTACAGAGTCCTTCAGGGTATTGTCAAAATGCTTACCCAAGATCTTGATAGGGTTTTGCTTTATAATTGGGATAAATTCGCCGGACAATTTAAAACGATCCCTCTCTGATGTTTTTCCTTTTTTTAACACAAGTGACCTTGATTTGGCAATGTTGAAATTCATCCTTGCCCATAAAATAAGTTTCTCTAAACCTTTTAGTAACCACCTTGTGCCAATCACAGACGAGGATGTTATGGTCATATCGTCCATGTATGCTCTTATTAGAGATTGCCATTGATCAGATCTTGTTTTAAGAAAAAAATTTATTTTTGATAGATAATGAATTTAAACAAAAATTAATTAGAATAATTTATAAAGTTTTAAATCTTTTAAATTTCTGTATTAAGTTGAATGGTTAATGATATTGTTATTAAGTAAAAACTATATTTAGCAATCATAAATGGAAAAGCTTACTACAATTCAAAAGAATTTGAATTTTTTTTATATGTTTATACACATAGAATAAACATTTGAAATTCTTACCAATTTTTGTTAATACAGACATGCATACATGACATTATCAGAAAATAAGAGTGATAACTACAATAAATTTAAAGCAAAAGTACCTAAAATTTAATAAAATATTAGATTATGGAGAATATTTTACTAAATCTTTAAAATTACTGGTTAGTCAAAAATTATATAAAAAAAAAGGTGCTCATGTCATGTGAGAAAGTGACTGAAGTTGAGATGCCAGGTCAGGACCAATAACATTGCAGATTCTTTATGTTTTATCAAGATTCTCTAAATATATAGCAGAAGTACCAGACCAGATGTGATGACAGTATTCAATGCATGGACGAATAGTCAATTTATAAATGTTAAAGAAAAAGTTAAATTTGATTTATTATTATACTTTCTATAGTTAAGTTTTTCTTTTCTATTGATCAGATAATACAAGGAAAGGTATCCTTTAATTTAATCATACAATTTATTGCATAATACATGGCAATATTAGTTTGTCAAGTTTTTTAAAATGTAATTAGTATCTTAAAACATCTCCCAAACATTTTGAAAGAAAGTAATATTTCATAAAAGAAGAAAATATTGAAATAAATTAGATAATACATTAAGCATGTTCACAGTTTTCGCGGGAAAACAGCATATAGCATAATGAAAATGCCACAAACTTAACTAAAATAAAGTTTTATCGTCAAAATACTTATGTTATTATTAAGATGAAAGACCAAAGTATTTTTTAATTATTTTTTGAAATTTTTTAATCTTTTCTAACACGTTTGAAATTTTGGTTAAATTCTTCTTTTGTTTACGTCATCGCGGCGTCACAGAAAATAACATTTTTTTTTTTTTTTTGCGATTTTTTTTCCGTTGAAAACATTGATTTGGAAAGTCTTGTAAAAATCAAGTAATTGTCCGATTTTAATGAAATTTTCAGGACTTATTCACAAATCAATTAAATTATTTTTGAAATATTTTTTTTAGAAAATTTTGGTAAAAAATACATTTTTTTAAAATATGTTACCCCACATTTACTTAATTTAATGAAATTTCACCCAAAACCTTTTTGGTTCCTGATTTTTTTTTTTTTTTTTTTTGTTAAAAGTAGGAGTCTTCGAAGATGGTAAATAACCTACTTTTTTTTTTTCAAATTTGAGCTATTTAACTGAAAATCTGCTCTGAATTGAAAAATAATGAATCAATAAAACTATGATATTACTTAATTAGAAAAGCTTTTAATTGCTTTTGTAAATAAGTATATTAAGGACATTATTGTCTGAAGTAATAATTTTTTTTCTGATGAATAATTAATTTTTACAAGAATTTTTTCGTTTTTTTAAGAAATTTTAATTATAATAATTTATAATAGTTTAAAATTGTGTAAAGCTCTGTATTAGGAGGGTTCCTCAAGGTGATGTAGTAATTAAGTAGAAAAAAAATTTACGAGTCCAAAATTGCTAAGTTTAATAAATTTAGTTGCGCTACTTTTTTTAAAAATAATTTTTTATGTTGTATTTTTTACATAATACATTCCTTATTTCCATGTATGATATACAGAAATTGCCATTATTATAACAAGGTCACGTGATATAAGGGTTTTGTCCCTTTACGTGGCCTTTTCATAACATTTCGTTTCTTACTGGTTGTATTTTCCGTTCAGCTTTAAAAGTGTAAACTTTAAATTTTAAATTATTTTTTCTTTTTTTGCATTTACTATTTCACTAAATAATTTTATTTTATGTATTGTATTTCCATTAGTGTGTGTCATACTCAAATAGAATAATTTTTTTAAAAACTCAGACTTAAAAATTATGTCGTTTATGGTCATCAGTAGTAGCTGTCATCGGTTCGTCATTCAACAATGCATCAATAGTTCGATCAGATGAACAGGACCGCTCGTTAATAATTGGTTGTATATTATTTTTTTATGCTATAAGTAAGAAAAATTTCTTTCAAATCAGATTACTTTAACTTTAAATTTTTTAATTTTACTAAAATAACGTGTCAGAAATTTTCTTAAATATTTTCAAAATCGATAAATTTGTGTTTGTTTACAAATTTCTTAAAATTAAGAAAATGGCCGATTTTAAGAAAATTAAAAAATTTTAATTTTAATTTGACAATAAAATGTATATAGTTTCTATCTGAAATACACCAGAGTTGTTTAATTAATGGAAATCATAAATTTAATGATTAAACTTTTTTTAAAGCTAAAATAAAATCTTCAAGAATGTTTTTTTCTAAAAAATTCATTTTAAACTTAAATATAGAAAATTTATGCTGAAATAGTGGAGATACTTATAATACATGAAACAGATAAATAGGAAGGAAATTTCTGAACTATTGTTTTCATTTTCTATATTAGTGTATGTTTGTGTAAGTAAATATATATATATATATATATATATATATATATAGTCATCCATAAACAGACTATTTCACTGTGTCATAGCTCATTGTGGGTAGACATCCGATTGCTTCAAGCCAGGATTGAAACCCAACTGAATTGGCATCAGTTGGAGATTTTCCCCCTAAGCCATTGGCGCATGGTAAAGGAAGGCAAATTTTTACATACTTACTCTGTGAATAAATATGTCAATGAATGACAGTGCTCAATTCAGTGAACAGTCTTCTAATATTAGTAGTCATTGTTTACAAATTCACACTTAATTTTGGTTGTGCTTTCTTCCAAGAGTGCACAACCAAAATTGAGTTTTTTGGGTACATATATATTTTCATCCATAGACAGACTGTTTTGCTGTATCACAGCTCATCAGTGTGGCTAGACATCTGTTTGCTTCAAGCCGGGATCGAAACCTGACACACACACACACACACACACACACACACACACACACACACACACCCCACTCAGTATAGCTTCAATATAAACCACAGGCAAGCTCTGTGGGTGTTGAACAAACACAAATATGTTTGAGCAGGTACCTGCAACAGGGATGGCTAGCCATACTATCAGACAGGTATACTTGGAAACAAGCAATCATTATTATATATATATATATATATATATATATATATATATTCTCCCATTATCTTTGACATATGAGAGGACAACAGTTCAGTTCTTAGAACTGAACATCCAGTCTATCCCACACATAGGGTTTGATTATAGTGGTGGAAGCTTGTACAGAACCAAACTCCCTTTTTGGAAGAACTAGTGCACTTAATGTGATGTGAGGCCTCCAAATAACCCTCTTCAGGTTTTGAATTCACAGTTGTCCTCCTAGACTGGTTGCCCAACAAAGCTTTAGGTCTAGTCTGCCCTACTATTTATCCCATAGCTCAAGAGCAAAAAGATAGGTAGTTACACATAAGTGAATGTAACAAACTTTGGTTGTAATTCAAACTCAACTCTGATTTTAAATTCTGAGCTGCTATCCATTATACCACCCACGTATCCTCTCTCTCCCTCTGTGTGTATGTGTGTATATATAATTATGTATAATTTACCTCTAATTTTTTTTTATTATGTTCCCCTTTTTGTATTGGCAGATTCTATTTATTTTAGGTTTGGATTCTTTTTGAAGCTTTGTTTTGTTTTTTATTTCACAAATCAATCAGATTTAACTATTTTCAGCTATATACACTTCAAGAAGTTCATTCTCATTTCTTGATTTTATTACTTGCTTTGTTTATTTGAGTCAAATTCCAGTCTTCATTCCTCTTTGCCTTTTAGTTTTTCAATCTGTTAGGCATTTATGTTTAGTAAATGTTCTTGAGATTTTTCATAGCTTATTCTTTTATTCTCCATTTTCTTAATGAAAATAATAAATATAGAAAAATTAATTGAAATAATTTCTTTCAATTGATTTAGTCTTTGTTTTTTGTTAAAGAAACAAACTCTCATTTGTAATTTCCTTATCAATTTAGTTGACACTTAATTGTGAAAATAAATGTTAAATTTTCCAGGGAATTACTTTCTCTTTTATTTTTAGTTTGAATTTCTTATTAATGTATCTTTTTTATTTTTATTTCATTAAAACTAATTTTTAGGACGCCACCTCAAGTAAGAGGTCTCGAGTGAAAACTGAACGAATGCAGGAATTTGAGAAGTCCCAGGAAGACAATGTCACCCAGAAACTGTTGAAGTGTCCTAAAGATGGTTGTGATAAAGTTTTTACCAGTGTTCCTGGATTACGCTATCACACTAAGACACATGTTGAGCCAGACAGAAGATTCATTTGTGAGAAATGTGACAAAAGCTTCAAGAGGTAAGTCTTATTTTCTTTTTTTTATTCCTTGATAACTTTTTAGAAAACACTTGATGATATATATTTTGTGAATGCTTTCTACTAGGGTTTGTTTTATCATAAGGATAAAGCAGATAAATTTATTTTTACTTGAGCATTGCCTTTTTAAACAGTATCGTTACATAACCCAGATTTTCTTTTGCTTATTCTGTCTGATAAAGGGATGTTCTTTAAATATTTCTTATTGAGTATTTTTCATGCACTCTTTTATGTGGATTTTGCAGTTTCTAGAAATACTTTGGGAAATGTTAGACTACATACTTCAAATTATGTTTTATTTCTCTTTTTTTTTTTTTTTTTTTTTTTTTTTCAATATTTTTTATGTATTTTAATAGCACACATTTTGTGGTATCCTCTCTAAATATTGACACTACTTCTGAAATTCTTGTTGTATATGAATTAATGTCTGAATAATGTGATCTTAATGAACTAATCTACTATATTTTGAGAAGATACAAAAAAGGTAAGGCCTTAAATAAATCAGATATTAACTTTTATTTTAAAGAGATTAAGCAATTTTAGAAGGTTTCTGCAATCATATGAAAAAGACTTGAGAAGATTCATGCCACTATAAAATGATTTTCATTTTGTATGCCATTTGAGATCTTAATTTGATTATTTAGTAGCGTGTTACTAATTTCTGTTATAATGAATTTACTTATATTAAATATCTTTCACATTTGCTTATCTACTGGTATGATTATTGTTATCATCAAATTCAGCTTAGTGTTCGTTTTATGAATCTACCTTCTATGTAGTCACTGATTGTTATGTCAAATTTAAAAGATTTGTAAATTCTATAAATAATTTTTTAATTTGATGCTGTTAATGTCAAATGTATTTGGAAACATTTACATTTAGACATGCTTACAGTAAGACTGTTGATATCAAATATTTTAAATAATTATATATTTCAACAATATCTGAAGTATTAATGAAATGAAGAAAAGTCATTTTTATTTGCAAAATTACATACAAAAAACAAACTCTATCCACTTTTTAATTTATTGGGAAAAAGGATTTTAAATATAGCTATAAAGTGATTATAACAATTTTAAAAATTCAAGCTAAAAAATTCAAGGTGGCTAACAAATAGTGGTGTTTTTCTTGTACTTTAGCTATTTGTCTATTTAACCTTCAAGTATATAAAATAGATCCCCCCTCAGATTGCTTACATTGTTTGCTGTCAAAATATTTATATACATTTTCAAGGTACCATAAAATGTTGGTCCCTAGTGTTTGCATTATAAACTAACTAATGCTGAGTGCTATTTCTAAACTAGTATACACATCATACAATACAACCAGTTTTGTGATGTATTTTTATTATATTGTGTGTGTGTGGGGGGGTGTCACTTAGCTTAGTCTGTACTGCAGAGTATCTGATACTATCAGTATCTTAATCGTCATGTATTTCCAGTAAATGGCAATTGCATATTTACCCAAAATGGGCCAACACTACCTGGTAATAATGCTATAGCAATGCAGTAGTGAAAGTGTTAATAATAATTCCAATCACCAAATCTTTATTTCAGAAAGACATTGCATCCACTGTGATACAGAACTCACAATACATTTAGGTTGATACTTAATTTATTACTTTAAAAACTCCCTACACAATATCAAAATTGCCCCATCTTAAAGAAAAAAAGATGCTCATCAATTTGGTAGGCTTAAGATAAAGTCTGAAGGTGTCTTTCACAAAAAAATTTTTAAGTTGAAAACTTTAGTGGATGAAATACCAGAGAACTTCAACTCTTAAAAGAATGAAACTTGCAACTTCTTGTAGAGAGAAGACTCATCTTTATTAATCAGTTGTTTTCATATCTTTGAGCTCATACAACTCAAGGCACATGTAAATCAAAAAGAGGGTATACTGTGTTCATTTAGTACAAAACTATTGGATCCGGCACATCAAAATTTGTATTGCTGACCAAGTGAATGAACATCGCCAGTTGAACCCCATTTTAAATCAGGCTTATTTCATTGATGGATATTATAGAGTTTAAATCTTTGAATTTTCTTTAAATGATGCATTTTAATACTGTATAAAGTACTTTTATATTTTGTCAAAAATGTCACGCTCAAATCACTTTTGCCATGGCTGTTGTTTTTATGCATTTTCTTTTAAAACATTACACAGAATTCATATTATGAAAGAAAAAAAATATATGAACTATATATATTTTTACTTATTTGTCCATAAAAAAATTAAAATAACATTTTTTTAAAAAGTATCCAGTTTTCCTTTCAATGATCATTTATTTCATTTACATTCATGGCTGACAATATTTTCTCTAATTCTTGGCATTTGGGGATTAAATTGAAAAATTATTTACATTATCTTTTAAAAAAATGAAACTGGACATATTTTATAAAATAAAAATGAACTGAATATATGTTTTAGCTTTGAAATGTAATTAGGTAATTTTAAAAATATAATCAGTTTCCTTCTTTCTTTCTTTCTTTTTAATGATTTATTTACTAATTCTAGGGATTAGGTCCTATTTCAAAGGTTAAACTGTTACATTTTCTTTTAAAAAATAATGGATACATTTTTTAATTCTTCAACTTTTGAAAAATTGCTTTATCTTTAATAATTTTTCCCTAATGCCATTATGGAAGATAATAAGCATAACAACTTTTTAAAGAAGTATCAATTCATTTTTTTTTTCTTTGTTTATGCATTAGTGTTTTCTATGCCCCAAACCTCTACCCAGGTGTTTATTAAAATTTACTTTTAATCTTTTGTTCAGTGGATGATGAACTCTACACCCTGAGAAGTAGTTTTCTTCTAAATGGGAAAAGCAGGCCAAAAAAGACCCTAAATTCTTTACAATGTATACTGATAAAATTAAAAACTATCATGAAGGGAATAGAGATTTCACTGTCATAACTTCATCTCCATCTAAAGGAACAAAAGAAAGAAAAAGCACTCAGTAAATCTGAATATTCAAGTAACAGCTCAGTGCTGTTATCAAAATTCTAGTTCCAACCAAAGGCAGAAATGATTTTTTCTGATGGATTTTGTTAGAACAAGTGGCATCAACATTTGTCATTAGATGAGACTTTATATAATACAACTTTCAAGAGATGATAGGATAGGGAATGCTCTAGGAATATTGACTCATAAACAAATTCAGACAGCAAATCACCATTAGAAGAGGAAATGCAGGCAGATCATTCCAACTGTCTAGAAAGTCTTTTTCATCAGTTTTGATAAATGTATTTTTATTCATTTCATTTCTTTTCTTCTTTTTTAGATAAATGAATTTAAGGGTCTACAATAAGCACTTGTTTAAAGGATTTGACCTATGATTCATTCATAAAACATATTTCTAATTTTTGTAGCTATTACTATCCTTTTTTTTCATAAGTTGAAAATTGTATAATTTCATAAAAGTTTTCAAAATTAGATATATGTATGAGAAAAGGTATTCATATTACAGAGAAAAGAGCTTTTTTGTTGAATTTCTCATTCCAAAATTAGTAAAGTTTCAAAATTCCAGGCATGTATCTCTAATGGATACTTTTTCATGGCAAATTCTGAGAGGTACACTTTTGATCTGTTTTTGCCCTGTTGTCAAATAGTGCTTCTGGCTGTTTTTACATGGTGTAAATATGACCTTTTTTTCATTGTTTACTACTGAAAAAAAAATTAGATTCATCTCTGTTGTGCTATGAATTATAGTAAGAAGTTGCAAGGTATTAACTTTTAAAAGTGAAACCGATATGAACAATCAGAATTGATCTTCTGTGTGATTTTTTTTTTTTTTTTTTTTTTTTTTTTTAACTATTTCATTTTTGAGAACAATTTTCCTCAATGTTTAGGCTGGTTGGATCTAATAATTTTTTTTTAACTAGTCTGAAATCAGCATCTTCAGTTAAAATTTGCTTCTGGTCCAATAGTGCTTGAGACAGAAAATTTTTTGCTAACTTTGAATGACCATAACTTGGTTACTAATTGAGCTATCAAATTAAATTTGTTACCGTTTTTATATTTTGTCAAGCTCTCTATGTTTGTATTAAATTTTCAGATAGATTGAAAATACTTTGCAATACCTATTTTTATAGTAGTTCAGATCCAGGGTAAAATTAATAATTGTCTGCTGTAATCTTACATCCAGAATGATACAGCAATTCAGCAAGGGATTTAACAGTTTTTGAAGTTAGTCCCTTTTTATGTTAGTTAATTTCTGGTCTTTACATCATACAGTTTACCTATTTTTAATGTATTCCATATGGAACAGTTTCAGTACACACTTATCAGGTTAGAATAGTAGGTATTAATAAAACAGGAAATGGAACAGGTTGCTCAGTGATGCTTCCTTCAACTGATGGAGTGTAATTTTTTTATATTTCAAATGAAAAGGCTCCATACACCCCAGTCCTTCTTTCTGTGTGAGTGTCAGTCATTATTGTCAAATTTTAGATGACCCCCCCAAATAGATTAAAATCTGGTTATCTTAGGTTTGAAAAAAAAAAACTTTCTAAGAGAACTACGTCTCCATAAATTTTTAATATACTCATCATAATTTGTATAAAAATATTTATTCAGTCAAAATATTTCCTCCTCACTTTAAACATTTTATTCACTTTAGTAGCAGCTTATTAATTCCTTTCCTAAAAGTTTGTCATTTAAAGAACAGATAAATATCTTGATGGTTTCAAGTTGATCTAGATATTTTAAAAGATATTAACCATAAGTGAGAGGGATTGCATGAATAGGCATGGTATAATAAAATCTCTCTTCAATCAATTCAATATTAATAATGCTATTTTTGCAACATGAATGCAAATGTTATCATGCATTAAAATGACATCCTTTCAATTTTCAAAATTTTGTTTCCCACTTTGAATGAAACTATAACCTTCAAGGGAGGATGATGATGCAGTTTTGGTTAACATTTCTGTATCTTGATATTGTATTATTTTATACATCATGCAACATTTCTTCACAA